GAAAGGCGTCATGAACGAGAAGTACATCTGGCTGTCCGCATGCAGCGGCAACTGCCAGTACCCCTTGGTCCAGTCCAACGTGAAGTACACGTTCGTTCCGACCAGACAGACCATCGCGCTGTCCAGGTTTGGCATCGGCCAAGGCATCGGCTCCCGTGCAGGCGTTAATCGGACTGCTGTCGATCGTCATGCGCAAGTCGCCGACGTCCATCTTCGACACGATTCTTGGGGCTGCGGTCCACGTAGCCCGGTTGTTTTGGTATACCATACCATTGGATACCAGGGCAGCCACATGACGACGGTCACGTCCGAACCAGAATCCAAGAGCACATTGTCCACGCGGACGATATTCTCCAAGAGCACACCGCGCTCTGTCGCTGCGGCTGGTTGTTGCCGTCCTTCGAGCGCTTCACTAGCGCTACCAACAACGTTTCAGCTTCGCCAGACGCGGCCTTCGGGCACCGCGCCACACGGTGATTCATGTCACCGCACTTCAAGCAGCCTTTCTTGGCAGAGGGCTTGACATTCTTGGGCACAATCGGTTCGGCCTTTCCGCTGACTTTACCATTGTTCTTGGCGGCGTCTTCCCGGCCACTGTCACGTCTTGGCACATGAGGCTTGCCGCCTCGTGGAGCTTCTACCGGCTTCGGTGCAGTAGGGATGGGCAGAGCTTCTTAACTCACTGAGCATAAGCAAGGCAGCGCGTTAGCGTCCCAGAAAGCTGGATGGTCCGTCAAGAGAACCGCTTCGAATCTCGGACGCTCGTATTGTATCCTTTTTGCAGTCGTCTGACAACTACGGCAAGAAATACAAGGGTCGACAGTCAAGTAAAGTACCATCTCCAGTGAATAGCTCAACAATGAACTAAAATATCTTTGTTTTGTCTCCCGCTTCTTCTTGGCTTTCGGCCACGGGACCTTCGTCAAGGCAGCAAAATATATACACTGACATTATTGAGGTTAAACACGCCACGAGGTGCCTACTGACTACCATTCACTAAAGTACTTAGTACCTCCACTAAAGTATCGGAACCTTTCACACGCCACACACACAGAGTGTGTGTTTGCAATGGGTTAAACTAACGCGCGACCCAATTGCTCTGCACGCTGCAGAACAGTACGATATGGCGAATGTAGGTGAGGGAATGCGAGATGCACTAAGCTTATGGTGAAGAGATGGAGGAGAGGCAGCATTCCACAACGCCCCCAAGCTAACCCCATCGTGGCTCCTGGTCCTACTAACGTTAACGGCATACTGCACCATTAATGCGTGTTGGGTAGCTGTTGGTATAAGCAACCATTTTAGCCTTAACGTTAGTCGTAGATGGGTACACCTTTCCCATGCATAAGCCACCAACCAGTGCAGTAGTTCAGGCAATGTTGTATTCGTACGCTTGACGTTAGCCAGTCCTTGGACACTAAGAATGACGCACACCTCCAACTTGAGACGATATCGCCATTTTCGCCATGCATTTGTGACGCCCAAAGAACCTGAATTTGTGCGTTTCCAAATCCTTCAACTCACGCTGAGTATACTTTACATCCAGTGTTTCGTGAATGTTTCGTAAATCAGTGGAATTTTTCAATACTTGAAGCACCATACAAAATCCAGCATAAAGAAAATCAATACATCCGTTTTACGAAACAAAATATTTCGTGACTGCATTTACTGTGAATCTGTTTCGTATTTGTTTCGAAAACCGTGTATATCTTAGTCAAAAATTAAGTGAATTTTACGCCGACACCTAAAAAAAGTTATTTTAAATTGGATTTTACGTTAGAGCATCTCCACCGCATTCCAGTAAATCGACACACCAATATCCGCATAGTGTTCGGATAACCACCTCCAGTATTGTAATGGACTGATAATTCAGGATAATTCGCACCGCAAAAAGCCCAACTCCAGCCAGTAAATTCACCATCATTCGACCAGCCTAAGTGGAAACCCGGGTTAATTTCGACTATGAGGTATGCTTATCTCCAGGAATGGCACGCAATGATGCGCAACATGCCTGCATATGTGCAAAGTTATCCTTTATCACCAGGAATGGCATCAACTGTAGTTTCTCGTGAACAAGTAAACGGAGTACGGTGATATACAAACATAATAGGCATCTGCCATCTCGATAGGACCCGCGCTATTGACCATGGTAATGCAGCAGTCAATGGCGCGGGTCCTGTCGAGTTGTAGTCGATGGCATGGGTCCTGCAACATGAACAACACGGCTACGGCTACCGGCCGCGAAGACATACCCACCGACTGCCGCACGACTCTCGCCAACGCGGCAAGCCATGCAACTTCGACCGGCGCAAGACAGACACCGTGACAGGATCGGCCTCGGACCGGGCTCGGACCGGCGCAAACAAGCAATCGGTCGCATTTGCCTGCGGTCCTTGCTGCCGCCTAACAGTAAACTTATCACGGCATCACGGCAGCATCGACCGTAGGCGAATGCACTATCGGCCGCAACTGACCTACGCCGCAAGAGTCATCACCGCATAAGTCATAAGCTATTGACTGCGGCGTACATACCGTGCCAGGGCAGCCACAACTGCAGCTCGACCTATGGCGTCACCGACCCTGAGGCTTCGCTGCTCCGTGTTTATGCACCGATGTCTCTATCCGGCCACTATAACCGGATACTGACTCCAGTAAATCCAGTACAAGTCCATCATATCTCTGTGACTTTTACTGGAATATTTGCTGGTCAGCAAAGTACTGAACCGGATACTGGTGCAGTGCGAAAATACTTCAGTAAATTTTCAGTAAATCAGCACACAGATTTACTGATTGGCCAATTTACTGGGCGCGGTGGAGATGCTCTTAAAGTCACGCTGCTGCTCCATGTCGAGGTGCGCCTACTGATTCACAACACATTCCCCTATCGAGCTCCCTTCGATCGTATTGACAGATCTTTGACCAATGGGTGTGGGACTGGAATGCGCTTGCAAGGATACTTGCTGTCTTTTGCTAAGATACAGTGCTTTGCGGTAAAACCGGGTTAGTGCAACTATGCACGTTGACTTGCACTTTGTATGGATAGTACACCATTTTTCAATTGACTTGGACATTTTCTCGATGGATTCGGTTGATATACCATTGGATTGAGTAGTGTGCCCATTCGAATGAATGAGTGCCCAATGGATTTGGTACCCACGTTCGGTGTGCCCATTGGATTTGGCACGACCCCCTCGTGTGCCCATTCGATATGCCCATGCGCCTTATAGAATTGGTTTGTACCCAACCAAACAACCTTTAGATCATTCGAAAGTGTCGTGCACTCTTTACAGTTGGCAATTGCTTTTTCTAGAACATCGGACGGGGGGTTCTATAATTCTCGCGCGCTTATCGTCACTTTCAAATCTCCCGCGTGACAGTGAACCATGGAGAACACAGCACCCCAAACGCCACCAAACGAACGTACAAACGCATTCCGTTGTCGGCCAAGAAGCGCATAGTTGATGCGTTCAACAACGCGATGGACTGGAAGCGCGTCGCTCAAGCGAAAGGCGTCAACATCAGTAGCGCACGAAATTGGCTGCATCTGGACTCGTTGACGTCGAAACAACGAGGTATGAAAGTCGTGTCTACTCGATCTAACATTGTCATGTAGGGGGAAACAAATATCACGACTCCTGACGGAGGATAACGTCGACATGCTGCAAAGTTGGGTGGAGCATGACGTCCAAATCACGCTCCAAGAGATCAAAGATCGATTGGCGCTTGATTTGGGCATCGAGGTGTCCACATCGACTTTGCATCGTG